ACGTTTTGAACTTTTTTCTTTCTTTTCTTTTCAAGATTTTATTTTAAGTAATCTCTACACCCAACAGGGATTGTGAACTCACAACCTCAAGATCAAGAGTCATAGGCTCCACTGACTGAGCCACCCAGTTTTTCTTCTACGTCATTGTGTGTCCCAGTTGTTTATTTCTACAATTCACATTATATTATGAAATACGGGAGACCAATGATACAAAAGTAATTTCAAAAGAGGACAGTCCAGGACAAACAGCCTCCACACTTATAATCTGTTTGAGGACAACTACTCCTTTGGAAAATGGTACTTAATTACATAAACTGATGACAGTTTCTCAACTCTCATTATGGCCTAATGTCTATGCTAAGGAAAGCTTTCTCAGAAAGAGGTGAAATTCTTTTTGCTTCTTTTCAAAAGATCTTTTCAAAAGGTTGAGTACAGAATAAAGAATTCTTCCCCCTACCACCTGAGAATCTGCTGCTGACCTGATGACTCATCCCCCTCTAGAACAAGACCTTGCATTCCCAGAAAGGACCTACCCCCGCTCCACTTCCTCCCCACAAGGCCATCAGAGTTGGGAAATTGACATTGATGCATTACCATCTCATCCCGCAGCTCATCGAGGTTTCATCAAAAGTCCTGGAGATGTATTCTTCAGCCAAAGGTTGTAGTTCAGAATTACATGCTGCTCTCAGCTGCCGTGTCCCCTCTATTCTCCTTCACTCTCTCTCAGCTTTAGCCATTCTTGACTCTTACAACCAGTAGAGTTCCAGTATGGTTATGTTGTAATGTAACTAGATTTGGAGTAGATCTTTGGCAAATACATCACAGAGGGGATGTTGTGCTCTCTCATTGCATCCTATCAGATGGCCCATTTCTCTTCCTCTCTTTGCTGATGGCTTTTACTTTGACCATTTGTTTACAGCAGTGTCTGCCAGGCTGCTCCACAATAAAGACGAATTTTTTTTTTCTTTTTCTCTTTTTCCTTTTCTTTTTCTCTTTTCATGAATACTACTTTATGCATTTTGTGGGAACTTACTTTAAAACTATGTAGTATCTTGTGCCTCATCAAACTTTCAATTGATCCTTTTAATTAATTTATATCGGTATATACTCATGAATATCTGTATTATTATTCAGTGGCTACTAATGGATACAAGTCCATTAGTCTTATTATTTATGTTGATGCTCAATTTGTCCCAGATCTGTCCAGTGGGAGCCCTCTGGCTCTTGTAGCCTTCGGACGTGGCCCATCATTCTTTGAGCACTTCACTGCTCTCTGGCACAAGAGGTTCTGGGCTTGTCTTATCCTTTCTCCTCCCTATTCATAAAATCAGCCATTTCTCCAAGAAGTCTTTGTTCCACTAGTAGAGAATGGTATGTAGATCAAGATCTGACTCACCACCATTGGGAAATCATTTCTCCACTTCAGTGGGCAGAGTAATACATACTTGTATATTGACACATACACATATATATAAAAATATATGTGATATATATGCATTATACATATTTTACACATATACACATTTATGTCTATGCATCTGTTATATAGATATAGAAATGAAAGATAGATCATGACAGATCTGAAGACATGAATTTATGCCAATGCTGTCAGATGCAATCCAACACCACAAGCTTCACTCTGGTTTTCCCCCTTTCTTTATTTCCTTCTTCTCTAGAGAAAAACCCAGATCCTATTACCCTTACTAGCTTTACTTACTTGCTCAGTCTTCCTGTATGCAACTAATCTCCCATTGCCACTGCCACTCTTACCTCCGAAGAAATGTCTTCCACACCACTCAGCTCCGACATCCTCCACTACTTGCCCTCTGCATGCTTAACCTACACCCCCAGATCAGGATCAGACACCACAATGTCAGGCTGCCCCTGCACAGAAACCTCTGTCACTCTGCTCAGCTCTGAGGCCGATCTAGGACCCCACTCTGCAGAAGGACCCACCTCCCTGTGCTCAGGCTCTAGGACTGTACATGGAGCCACTCCCCTACCTGGATGCCCTCCAGACTTGGCTCAGCCTCTAATTCCCTGACCTGGGACCCTCTGGCTTCCTCCAGCAAGGGAGATTGCCTCCTAGCATTCCCCAACCTAATGCATATAGGACCCATTCCCATAAAAAGGAGAGGGAGATGGGGACAAAAGATTGGAAAAAAAGAACAGGAAGAAGCAAAGGCAGTTGAACTAATTCTTAACAAATGTTTATAGAATTTTAAATGTGATGATAATTTAAGGTCACAATTTTGATGCATCAGATACAACTCCATTAAAGATAAAGTAAGATAAGGTTATAGTTAATCTGTTCCTTTAAACAATTTAAATGACTTGAAACTGCTAAAACACTGCTGAAGTTTTCTATTAGACACAGACTAACACAATGTCAAGAGCATGTAGGTGCTTGAATAACATTTGTTCTCAAAATATTTATTGCTAGGCAGTTGCTGTGTACGTATGTATGTGGGTTGGGGAGTGTCTCTAGAAAGGAAGGTGGTTGATCAGGAGAGTATATAAGCAATGTCCTCCAGAAGCTAAATACGATCGTTTCAAATGACTCCCCTGCAGACACATTTTTCAAAAGATAAATGACCCCTTCCCTCAATTTTCTACTTAAAAGTAATAATAAAGATGTTTAAATAGTCCCATTTATCTAATATTTGCTTTTATAAAGCTACTTTACCTTTCTTATTTATTTGAAACAGCTTAAAAGAATTAAGGTGAGTCCCTGTGCCAAACTTTTTATTCTAGAACTCCAAGTATGTTAGCATGTCCTTCGGCTCCAGTCAAGTATTTAGATCCATACACCGTGCCCTGTCAGTGGTTCCAAACTTTCATAGACATACCCAGTTATCTCACAGAGACAACTGAGTATTGTGTTTAAGAAAACAGGCATTGGAGGAGGCGCCTGGCTGTCTCAGTCAGTAGAGCAAACAACCCTTGATCTCAGGGTCATGAGTTCAAGCCCCCTATTGCGTTCAGAGCTTACATAAAAACATAAAAAAAGAAAGAAAGAAAGAAAACAGGCATTGGGAGTCAGACTGAACAATGCTAAGTTTCCTGCTCTACTACTTAAATAGTTATATACACTTGGGCAATCACTTAATCTCCCCAAATTCCAGTGTCTTCATCTGAAAGTCAGGGACAATAAAAACTAACTCATAAGGTTATACACTGCACAGTGCAATGCCTGGCACATAGTTGTTATATAGTAAATATGACTAATTATAACCATTTTTATTATTAAATTTTGACCCCAAGTCTTAGGTTTACAGAAAACCTATTTTCCAAGTTGGTTCAATGCACCCAGCTAAAAAATACCCAGCGAACTTCCTAACAGCCATTAGCAAAGAGGAAACAGAATCTCACAGAGATCCATACAGTCTATAAAATGAGATAAGGTTGTTTCACAACTTTTTTTATTTTATTTATTTTTCTTTTTTTTTTCTTCTCCACAATTTTTAATTCTGCCTTACAATAGATGCTAACTTAATACCTTTCATATGGCATATCATTCTACAATTTTAACTCAAGTGGAGCTAAAAGGTCAGACTGACACTATACACACACAGACACTCACCATACCTACATACCATCATCCCACTTATTTACAACTTTGTTAATTTATTCCACTCCCATTTGTTTCCTACTTTTTTGTCTTTAGAAGTCTGCTCTGAATGTCAGTTTAAACCTACCAACAGTATAAATATTCATCCAATAGTGCACACTCTAGGCCATTATAATTTTATAGCATGGTATTTAACCTGCTTAGGATCACGTGATTAAAATCACAAGGGAACCTTCAAAATACCTGATGCCCAGGCTAAATCCCAGGCCAACTGAATCAAAAACTTTGAGGGCAGGATCCAGCTATCAGTTGTTAAAGCTCCCAGTTAATTCCAACATAGAGCTACGCGGAGAACCCCAATTCTAGAACTGACCCAGAATGCAATGGTCCTCAAAGCTGCAACAGTCTTAAGTGAAACAGGAGTGAATCTAGGAATAGCCCCAAGCGGAAAAGTCCTTGACCATTTTTTTGTAAGTCCCATGAATGAAAAAGAGGTACGTCCCCTCCTTCCTAGGTATGTCCCCTAGAAAGGGTGTCAAGGAAATTTAGGAACTGAAGCAACCCAAAATGTTTTGTCCAAGTTGTTAACAACTAGGCCTTTTAAAGGACAGTTGTAAAAGTTGAATAATCTTATCCTTGATTATCTTACCATCTTTATTTTACAAAAAGTCTACATGCTGTAAGTTCATAAAAGTGAATTCCTATGAAAGTTAGAAAATCTCGTGTAGAGTATCTTAGTTGTAGTTGCCCATAGGCACTCTTTGCTAACCTGACTGGCAGTCGACTGTCCTCATTAGCTGCTAACACGTTGAAAATGTTAACACACATTTAAAAAAAACTGCATTAGAAGGTAGGTTGGATGAAATACTTTCAACACAAGAAGTCATTATAAACAGGTGAAGCTAAAATGGCAAACTTGGTGTTGGTTTTCGTAATGTTTTGCACATCCTCAAAGCCAACCCACCTGCCAGGCAGGGAGGTGATATTTAAACCTACTATTGATTCCAGCGAAGGGAGTTGGCCTCGGGGAATGTGGCTTTCAGAAGTCCTGCCGCTTTTGCAGAAACCCAGACGCTACCTTGCTCCCTCCCGCACCCGCACACCCAGCCGCCCTCGTCCTGGGAACAACACCCAGACACTGCCCTACTACTAACGCCCCCGACTCGCGAGGCGCTCTTCCTTCCAGACTCCATCCTGGCGCGGAGGCGCCCCGTCCGCTGCAGTCTCCTCTTCCAGCTTAGACAACCCAAGCCCGGCCCATGGGAGGAGGCGGCCGCCGCTCGCCACCCGCCGTCGCCAGCATCCCCGCGCCGCTCCCCACCACCCCTGCCCCCGCGCCTCGGCCAAACCCTCGGCCTCACCCGCGCACCGCCTAGCGCGTCCTTTCCTGCGCACCCTCCCCCGCAACCCGGCCCCGCAGCCTTCGCACCTGTAGTGTTGCCGTCCGCCCAGCTCCGGCGCTCGCCGGCGAGGAGGCACAGGAGGAGCAGCTGCAGCCGCAGCGCGGGCGGCGGCCCCCGGAGCCCCCGGAGCCCCCTCAGGCCGGGCAGGGCGCGCATGGCGCCGGCAGGTCAGCCGCGGTCCTCGCGCACCGCCGTCGGTGGCCGAAGTTTCTGCGCACACTCGCCGGTGGCCCGGTGCCTGCTGCCGGTCCCGGGGGCGGGACACGCGACAAAAGTCAGAGTGGGAGGGGCCCGGCCGCCCTGCCCTCCTCCCCTGAGACGCTCTCACTGCGTCCGAAGCCGACCCCGGACTGCGCCCCGTCCCCCATCAATTATGCAGCTCCGCGGCCGCAGCGGGCGTGTCCGGATGTGCAGGAGCCACCTCCGCGCCGCATCCTCTCCTGCCTCCTCCCTCCCGGCTCCCGCAGGTCTGCGCGGGAGCTTGCTAAGGACGCGGCAGGTGATGTCTAGCTCGTCTCCTGCAGGACAGCTTGAAACTCCTAATGGGTGTGTGCATAGATATAATCTACAGACTATCCTTTACAGTTCGTCTGAGGCAAGATGCACTTATTTACTTTGATGGGACAGATGAGAGGATGGACAACACTTTTCTCCTCCCCCCCGCAAGCCCCCCCCCCGCCCCCGACATCCCTGGGTTATTAAAGAGATTAATGCTTGCGCAGGTGGAAGGCGCTATCCAGCTGCCCTGCCTCCTGGACGAGTCTTTCTCTACTTTCCGTACCAAACGCTCACACCTTCCCCACCAGTCTCTGAAGGCTTAGCCCGTTCTCTCTAGATTAAGGTTTCCGAGTCCCAAGGCCCCACAGTGTCTGTTTTTCTTTTCCTATTGTTTGCTTAGCCTAACAGCTTTTAAGGAGCCACCTAGAGGTCAAGAAACAAAAAACTACCGAAAGTAGATAGTGTGTAAACGGCACAAGCCGGTTGACCTTCGTCAGACTGGAGCACTGTTTAAGATAATGCTATCTCCTAGGGGCGCCTGGGTGGTTCAGTGGGTTAAGCCTCTGCCTTCAGCTCAGGTCATGATCTCGGGGTCCTGGAATCCGGCCCCGCATCAGGCTCTCTGCTCAGCGGGGAGCCTGCTTCCCTTCCTCTCTCTCTCTCCCCGCTTCTCTGCCTACTTGTGATCTCTGTCAAATAAATAAAATCTTCAAAAAAAAAAAAAAAAAAAAAAAAGATAATGCTATCTCCTACCCCGCAAGGTTGTAGCTTGGAATTTTCTGCACTCCCGACCAAATAAAACTAAAAACTATCAAAGAGAGGAGGAGAAATCTACGATCTAACGTAAAAAAAAACAGTTAAGATCTGATGATTCTCCAGGGTGTTAAAAAACATTAAAAGATTTTTTTAAAAAGCAGTTTTCATAAGTCTTGTTCCCTCTTCCTTTGTTTTTAGAATGCCAGGTTTGATATTCATAAATTCATTCCATATCAGTGTCAAAAAAAAAAAAAAAAAAAGATTGAGGGGCGCCTGAGTGGCTCATTTTGTTAAGCAGCTGCCTTCTGCTCAGATCATGATCAGGCCGTCCTGGGATAGCGCCCTGCATCAGGTTCTCTGCTTAGCAGGGGAGTCCGCTTCTCCCTCTCCCTCTCCCCCCTCCCACCCCCGCTTGTGCTCTTGCTCTCCCCCTCTCTTTTAAATAAATAAAATCTTAAAAAGAAAAAAAAAAAGATTGAAAGATCATGTCAGACACAAACTTTGAAAACTGAAGTGCTAAACAAGAGCTATGCTTGCTTCACAGAGGAATGGTTGATTTTTAATTGGTAGGTATCACTAAAATATGCCTGTTCCAGTTTAATATTATACAGGGAAAATTTAAGAGGCATATAGATTATTTAAATTGGTGTTAAGAGAATATGAGTAATAAAGTCCATTAAGCATAGTAATACCTAATTAATATTACATATCTGCCAAATGTCAGGCACTAGGTTCAGAAGAGGTTGTACATACCACAAGAAGTATGTACGTGCACACACACACACACACACATACCTACAGAACTATTAATCTATGAACTACAAATCTCAGGAAAACCTCTTCTCAGTGAACAAATTATGGTTATGATGATTAACCCTTTCTGAACAAAGCCTTTATGATGATTAACCCTTTCTGAACAAAGCCTTATAAGAAACCCTGTAGGACTAACATTTTCCATCATGACTCTCTTAGGACCTTGACCAGACTTGCTAAACCCATATTGCCTGATGGGTAAATCACACCCCTGTCTTTCTGTCCTGCATCCTGTCTCAGGATTGATTATAATCATTTGTCTATACCTTTGGAGTTTTAACGGTGAGCTCTTCTCCAAACAAGCTGAACATTGACTGACCTTCCCTAGTTGGCCCTATTAGCTCAAATTCACTCTACTTCGAATGAGTTGATCTCATTCAAAGAAAGATCATCTTCTCAGTGGAACCAATGTGTTCATGAATTAGGGAAAAGTGACTTGCCCAAGCTAAGACTAATTCCCACAGTCACTTTTGTTGTTACAGTGAAATAAATTGAGAAAGAAATATAATGCTTGGTTTGCTAAGCATTTTGAACATCTTTTCCCTATTGTTAACTGCTTTAATTTTAGAGAGTTAATGTTTTTGTTCTTATCCTAACTTCACTTCATTTTTTTCAAATGTTCTATATTCTTTAAAACCAGCTAATATGATACCTTCCTTGTATGGCTTTTTCTGACCTTTCTAATCCAAATTGACCGTTCTTTGCATGATGAGTTAAATATGGCCACAAATACATTGACACTATCCTCAACATGGAGGGGAAAAAGGGTCCTGTGGTTCCTTTCTTCAAGCTGGGTGGTCTCCCTGACCTCCCTGACCTATCGAATATTGCAACAGTAACATTGTGAGAGTTTCCTGAACCAAGCCACAAGAGCATCCACTTCCTTCCTCCCTGTTCTTACAAGCTGCCAGGAGTATGTATGACTACCTTGAGAGCAACATGCTGTGAGAAGCCCAAACCACACAGAGACAACAATGAGATGATACCTGGAGAGGCCAAAGGGCAGCAAGGTGCTAGATCTGTGTGTGTCTCAGAGCCTCAGGCAAGGCCAGCCCCCAGCTGAGTACCATACAGTGATCCCAGTTGATACTTCTTGGAGGAGAAATGCCCAGCTGAGCCCTGCCTAAACTCCTGGCCCACACAATTGGGAGATAACACTGTTGTTTTAAACCACTAAACTTTAGGGTAACTTGTGTCACCACACTAAATGATCCAAACACTGTCCTCTGAACGCATACTGTCCCTACAGTTAATCTGACAACTAATAATTTATAGCCTTGTGGCTTGATCTTCATTGTTGGCTTCAAGTTACATTTAAATATTTTATTAGCATTCAGCTTGTTATATGATTATATCTTCTTTCCCAATTCCATTACAACTCTTTTCAGTACATCAAAATAGTTACACAAGTCTTTGTATTACCTGCACTATCATAAAATAAATAGTACTTCTTGTGTGCTCTCTTTTTTACTTATTAGAGAATCAGTTAAGAAATACATTTTTTCTTTTTTTCCCCCTAAAACTTGTGTTTGTGGAATAATGCTATAAAATTCTTATTTTTATTTTCCTTTAGGATATAAGCTGTTGTTGAGTGAAAAATGTGTGACAGGGTACTAGAAAGGTGTGAAAATGAGAATGGGAATGTGGATATGGGTTACCTCTTATGGAAGGCAATATTTAATTTTTAAAAATTATTATTGAAGAAAACATTACATCAAACAGTAATAGATGAAAGGACATGTTTCACTATATCAATGCCAACAAGTCAAAATGTCTATCTTTGTCAATCTGACAGTTGACAAACAGGATGCATTTATAGTTTAACTTACATTTGTTTTATTGTAAGTTGGGGTGAGCTTTTTTAAGATGTGAAAATATCATGTCCAAATGTTGTTGCAAACAACAAAATCCAGCCTGGCTAGTTTAAGCAGAAAAATAAGCACTTAAAGTTTATTAGGTACTACTTGGGATTGTTGAAAAAACAGACTCAAGGATAAACTTTCAGGAGCACCAGGATTCATGCAGTAAACTCACCAAATATCGATACCACGGATGCATCCGCCATCAAACAGGAGATGCTGGGGACTCCATACCCTACTACTTACACCCCTGAGGCCACCTGCGGGTCAGCAACTGGCCCTTGTAATGCCCACTGCTACCTTCACCATCCAAATGGGAGTGCTACTGTGCTCCTCTGCTCCTCTTGGAATCAGTCCCCCTCCCCTGGGAGTGTCCAAGGCCAGAGCGCATGCCCGTCTGCTAGCTTCAAGACAGGCTGAGTGTTTGAGCTCTGACCTCGATGGGAGAAGGCAGGATTCCTAATGTGAAAATCTCCCCAAATATAGAAATGTTTTCAAAATATGACAAGATGCCCTGAATATCCACTCCAGTCCTCCCCACTAGGACAGGCAACATTTCTTCAATACTTATTCTTTGAAACAAAAGCAGATGCTCCCCAACTTAATACATGAGGTACTCATTTCAAATGCGGACACCCCATCCCACCCAGAAAGAGGCCTGTCTCATTAGAAGGGGGAGCTGGGTCCCTGACTTGTACAGATGTCCACTCCAAGGTTCTGGGACGGGAACTAGTAGTATGTTCATTTCACATACGTTTTTGTAAAATGTGCTAAAGTAAACATTTTAGCTGGAATTATTTAATATGACCATGTATTTCTACTCCAGCTGCTCTTGCAATTCACTTTCCCATATGTCAGATGGCATGCTGTGAACGTTTTGGGGATCCTGCTAAGAGGAAGTTTAGTTAAGAACACACTTCATAGGGATTTATTATAATATAGTTTTGCATTTTGTAGTCCCTTTAGTATAAGCAATAAGTTATTACTGGTCACCCAATCAGAAATGGCTTAAAGGGCATACAGAACTTTTGCTGTGTGACCCAACCAGCCCTATGACTGAATCGGCTCTCTGGGCATCCCAACTTAAAGGTGAAGAATCAGAGACCAGATCCCAATAACACTCTGTATGGTCACTTGGCACCAGAAGTATGTTGATAGGGAGGGAGAAGGATCCCATTGCCAGATCAAAGGTGTAATGGACTGAATTATATCCCCCTTACCCACCCAATTCATATATTGAAGCTCTAACCCTCAGTAGCTTAGATTGTAACTGTGTTCGGAGATAAACCTGTAAAGAGGTAATTAAGGTTAAATGAAGTCATATGAGTAGGCATGGGATCTAATATGACCAGACTTGGACCTAATCCAATATTGCACCCTTATAAGAAAAAGAGGGCACCTGGGTCTTT